TAGTAAATTTCAGGTGGGAAGGTTGGGGGTTAGGTCCTCAATTTCAGGATCTTTTCTCCCTGAGAGCCTGGTGCAGACCAGAACATCTTTGTGAAATTGGAGAGGTAAAAGTTCTTACCCAATGCAAAGTCTGAGAAACGTAGGCTTAGCTTCGAGCCTTTCAGTTCCAGCAGTTTTGGGTCTTTGTTTTAGTGCTGGTAGCCAAAATCTTTGAAATGGAATGTACCCTGAAGCTCACAGGAGCTCTCCTGCTGCTGGTGTGCCCCTTTGGCAGGTAACCTAGAGCTCCCAGAGGACAGCTGCAAGCAGTATGAAGTGATGTATTCCCCACCCTGCGAAGCCACGCGGAATGGCACCGCAGCGGATGAGGCATCTGCCAATGGCATTGTCCTGGCCACCGAAGACCTGGGATACCAAATCTATGAGGTGTCTGGTGAGTACTGCAGTGGAGCCACCAGAGGCTCCTGCAGCTCTGATGTGCCTGAGGAGGATCTCTGCCCTGGTCCATGGGATGCTCCAGGCCAGGCACAGCTCCTGCCTCGTCCCGCGCGGCGCGGCGTGTCCCTGCACTGTGCTGCTGTCCTGAGACTGATGGTCCATGTGTTTGTTCCCTTCCAGGTGACAACAGCTCCACTGTGTCCACAGAAGACATTAGAGAATGTTTGAGGAAACAACTTGAGTTCTGCTTCTCTCGGTAGGTGCATTAGCTCGCGTTGGTATCAGCTCTGAGTTCAAATCCTTGGCAAATAGTCTCTTTTTTTGGCTTGGTATGTGTCACCGTGGATCAGAACACAACCCAAGGCTGGTGCTGTGCTGTGGAATCCCTTGTGGCACCTTCTAGCTGTCTGTCCTGTCCTTGGGTCAGGGCTGAGTGTGACCTCTGTGCTTTGCAGTTGTAAGACAATTTCCCTGTGTGTGACCAGGAATCTCTTTGCAGATCCTTTTTGCTCAGGAACTTCCATGAAGTTTTTTTTTAATTGCCTTGCTCTGCTTTGTCCTGATCTGCTGATATTTGTTTAGGAGAGAAACTCTGAGTGTGTTTTGGCTGTGAACATTTAAGCCTCCATTTATCCTCTTGTTTTGAGTCTTCTGTAAGTGATGTTTAGGCTTTTCATTGAGTAATGATTTTTGTCTTTCTAGTGAGAACCTTTCAAAGGATCTTTACTTGATGTCTCAGATGGACAGTGATCAATTTGTTCCCATATGGACAATTGCCAACATGGAAGGGATTAAGAAGCTGACAACAGACATGGACCTTATTCTTGAAGTTTTGAGATGTAAGTCTGGGAGTTGGTGGCTGCAGCAGTAGAACAAATATTCCTTCCATGGCTCACAGAAGTGTTTCAGCCTCTGAGCTGGTTCTGCCTTGCTGTGCTGGTAACTGGGGACAGGAGAGTTGTGCAGAGATGGTCCAGTGGGAGGTTGTTCCACACTCCTGAGCTCTCATTCTGTGTTACAAGTTGAGTTGCAGAGCCTGAGATGTGCACAGTGTTCATCTGTGGTGTTTGAATTTCAGCTTCTCCTATGGTACAAGTGGATGAGAGAGGGGAGAAAGTCAGACCAAACCACAAGAGGTGTATCATCATTCTCCGTGAGATCCCTGAGACAACACCTATAGAGGTAAACAAAGAAAGGACAGGTTGATTTTTTTTTGGAATGTTTCTTCAGCAGAGCTTCAAACAGCACCAGGCAAAGGTCAGGTCATGTGTAATTGGATTAAACAAGGATATTTTGCTTGTAAACCACATCAGGAATTTTTTCTGCCTGGATGCCTTGTCAAAACAGCCAAAACAAAAACTTGTTGCCATTGTCCCTCCCCATTATTTACTACTACATTTAAACCTTCTTAAGTAAACTCTTTTTTTCCACCAGAGCTGAGCTAACTTGGCGTTTCTGGAAGGAAGTTTGAACTGGTTTCTTTTCAGATCCAAAAATAAATCAGTCCAGGGCATAGCTTGGAATTCAGGCTGAATTTTTGTCACAGCAGTAACTTTACTTGAAGTCAGAGAGTTGTTTTGGCAGCAAGAAATGTTACTAAACATTTCTCATTCATTGTGGCCCAGCGTGAGCTGAGCTCATTATGCCCAGAGGAGGGAGGATAATAAAATTCCTACTGATCCTTGGCGAACAGAATGATTTAGTTCTTTGTTTTTTTGGAGTTGTAACAGGGAGTGTTTGTCTAGCAGCATTTCTAATGAGTTCTTCTAATGCAAACACTGAGCAGCTGCTTGTCCCTCTCTTTACAATCTGATTATGGCAAAGCTGTCAGGGTGCCTTGACTTGGAAATGTTTCATGGAGTCATTCCTGTCTCCATGACTCTCCTGAGCTAAAGCCTCGTGTTTGCTGCATGTTTCATACAGATACCACCAGTTCTGCACCACTCTTGATTTTTCTTGCCTGCTGTGCTTTACCTGGGGAGCTGAGATTTGGGGGTTCACAAACAGGTCGAGGATAATTTGGGAGTGCTGACAAGGAAATGGAGGAACATCCCTGGTCTCAGGGGAGCAGCAGCTGAGGGCAGGGAGGGTAACTGTGTCACTTGGGTACTCCTGTGCAGCTCAGAGCCAAGTGCCCTGAACTGCCCAATTCTTCTCTCCCCAGGAGGTCAAGGCTCTGTTTAAAAACGAGAACTGCCCCAAAGTGATAAGCTGTGAGTTTGCTCACAACAACAACTGGTACGTTACATTCCAGTCCGACACCGACGCGCAGCAGGTGAGGCTGGCAGAGACATTCCTGGTGTGAGTCCTTCCCCTGCTCCAGGGAATTTTGCTTCCTGGAGCTAAGAGAAATGTTTATTTACTGAGCCCATGCTGTTGTTTTAAGAGATTACTGGCAAATTCTAGCTAATAAGGCTGAAGTTGAGAGGTGCTTGGGGTGTAATCTCTTGCCTCGGTGCTCTCTGGCCCTGGGCTGGAAGTGTTGGTGGGTTTAGCTGGGATCTCAGGGAAGCACATGGCTGCTCACTAGTGTGAAATCTTGTCCTGTCCTTTGGGAAGTTCAATGTTATCAGGATATTCTAATGTTGATTTTTTTTTTTTTTGTCTCTACAGGCGTTTAAATACTTAAGGGAAGAAGTGAAAACCTTTCAGGGCAAGCCAGTAATGGTGAGGCTGCTTCAGCTGAGCTTTCTCTTGCAGCTAACTGGTGTTGTTTCTGTTAGGATGGTGCTGTGCATTTTGGGGGTGGGACCAGGGAATTAGCAGTGGGGTAGGCCCCAGCACTTGCTTTGAGGGTTGGAAACGTGAATGAGGTCACTCTGCCAAGTCACAGTTACTCACAGCACTGTTTCCCAGGGGGGGTGGAACACATTCCTCACCTCTTCCCATCTCCACTTCCCCCAGAATCTGGGTCTGCAGAGCTCCAGAGAGGTTCTCCTGCCCCCCTGACTCTTAGTCAGCTGCTGCACAGGGCAGGCTGAAGGAAGCTGCTTGTGCTGCGAGAGGAACTGTCTCCACTGGAGTCAGGACAGTTCCTGCTGTAGAAAGCAGCTTTTCTCCTCAGCTTTACAGATCCTCCAGCTAGAGCAACACGTGTCCTTCCCCTTGGCCTGCTGTGGGAATGGGATCTGGATGGATTGTTATCATTCATAAGCACTAACCAACCTTCACATCCTGCTGGGACAGCTCAGTGGGCAGGAAGGGTTCCACTCTGCTGAGCTGACCCAGGCTGTGCTGTGCTGTCTTGCAGGCAAGGATCAAAGCCATCAACACGTTCTTTGCTAAGAATGGTTACCGGGTGGTGGACTCGGGCGTGTACCCCCAGCCCGTGCAGACCCAAGCACAGTTTGCCTCCCCCCTGTTTATGCAGCCTGTATATAGCCCTCAGCAGTACTCCATTTACAGCATCGTGCCTCAGACCTGGTCTCCCAATCCTGCACCTTACTTTGAGACACCACTGGTGAGTGGGAGCTGGTGGTCAGGGGGAGCAGCCAGCCCAGGGGGGTTAGTGGGTGTTCAGCACAGAACTCCTGGTCAGGTCTGTTGCCTGATACTCATGCCAAGGAGCTGCCAGAGCAGGACTGTCAGAAAGCTGCTGTCCTCACTCTCTGTTTCATAGAGTTTTGGTGTGCAATTCCCTTATCCAGTAGGCAGTGGTAGTGGAACAGCCTGTAGCTTTCCCAGGAACTCTGCTAAGGCAGATGCAGCCTGTTAACCTGTGAGGGTTTGGCTGGAGCTGTCAGTTCACCCCACAGTAGATGCTGCAGCTCGATGTGAAAGTACAGCCAGGAGTAAATGCTGAAGCTGATGGTAAATCTGCCAGGGGTTGTGTTTGTAGCTCAGCCACTGAGGCTGCTCTGTCTGTTTCAGGCCCCTTTTCCCAACGGAGGATTTGTGAATGGCTTTAACACACCAGGATCATACAAAACAAATGCTGCTTCCCTGAGTATAGGTCGCCCATTCCATAGGAATCGGTAAGAAAACTCTGTCCCTGGTTTGGCCCTGGAGTGCTGAGCTCCTCAGAGCTCCTGCTGTGTCACATGCAGCCCCTGATGGGACTAGGTGGTTTGGTTTGTTTATCAGATCTCTCTGATTGTTTTCCAACTTGATTATACAAATGAAATGCATTTCATGCAGCATTTTTAATGCAGCTTAAGATCTAAACTAATGGTTGCACGTGCTGGGAGAGCAAAGGTAATTCCTTCAAAAGCCTCAGAGGAATTTCTGCAGCCAAATAAATAACTTCCTCTTAAGGTAATACTTGTAATTATGTTTGTTAGACACAGATTATAAACTCCTGCAGCACTAGCATAAGCCTTTCCTGCTGGGCTCAGGCCTGCAGAGCTGTGGGGATCCTGCAGTGGGAGTTGCATGCCCTGAGTGCTGTGCTCCAACTGCTCCATGCTGAGTCCCTTCTGGAATTTATTTGCTTTCTCCCCATCTTTCCTGAGAGCTGTGAGAACTCTGCTCAGATGTAAACACTGGGGAGGAGGAAACACTTTGTATTGCTGGAGCAGCAGTGCTGTGTAAATACAACCCATGTGTGTGGGTGAGAATTGTTTGTGTGCAGCACAGGGCTGGGACCAGGGGAATTGCTTCTTGTGTTGTTGGAGGGATCAGTTGACAACTGGCAGTGCTGTGAGTGGGTTTGTGGTGCAGCTCAGGGCTGGGGCTCTTGGCAGAAGGTGAATTTAGGATTTGGTGTGTGGTGACTCAGCAGAGTCTTAGCACAGACTGTGAACTGGGAGTGTGACTCTGCTTGGAACATGGAGCAGCTGCTCCAGTTACAGCTGCTCAGCTCCCAGCTAGCTTCTTCATAAAGGCTTGGCTTCTTTGGCTTTTTTTTTTGGCCTTAAATTATGCCCAAACTTTGCAGCCTGTAAAGCTCTTACGTATGTTGATCCTCTCAGAAGTATCAATGCTGCAACTGTACAAGAACTGCGTGTAGCCAACTCTTAACCCCTGAGCCCATGTGCTCACTGCTGCCTTTAGATCACATCTCTGTGATCCTGAAGCTTGTAAAATTCTGGTGCTATGAAGGCTTTAATTTGTAGAACTTCAGTCACTGCAGCTGCAGCTTTAGGGTCGAGTGTGTGCAGGTCCTGCTGGTCTGTCTCAGCTGGGTTCTCCTTCCTGCCAGCCCTGCTCAGCCCTTGTGCTCGTGCAGAGTCTGGTTGGTGGTGGATCTCACACCCTGGCAGCAGGTGTGAGCTGTGCTGCAGCAGAATTCCAGTGCCCACAGGAGGGTTCAGTCCCAGGGTGGCACCACCTCGAGGCCTGGCCCAGTGATGATCAAGTATCGCGCTAAGAGAGAACAGGTCAGCGGTCGAGGTCTGGGCAGCTCCTGCACTCCCTGCTCTTCCTTCCCTCTGCTCTCACATCATCCCTCCTTCTCTCTGCCTTTTTTTGTCCTCCTTTGTTTTCCTCATCCTTTCTGCTTTGCTCTCCTGCCCAGACTAGACTGTGGCCGTCTCGATGACGGGTAAGATTATGAGATCTGAGGGCTGAGCAGTGACCTGAGGATGTGCCATTTTAAGAGCAAATTGAACAGAAGGGAAGAATTTAGGTAACTTTCCTCCATCTGTGGCCTTTGCTGATGGGAAACTTAACAGAAGGGAAGAATTTAGGTAACTTTGCTCCACCTGTGGCCTTTGCTGATGGGAAACTACAACTTTAAAGCTTAAAACTGGTTCTTGATGCCTCTCAAAGCTGCGAAGTGTGAATGAATCTCTGCTCAGCACATCTCTCAAGCTGCAGAAGGGAGAGAGATTCATCTAGTTTGGCTTTCTGTCCTGACCCATGAAACCTGATTTGGTTTGTTGTTCAGGCAGTTAATAGTTAAGTGTTGGATTTTTCTCTGTAGCTAAACATTTGTTTAAGCCACTCTTATTTATTTTGCTCTTGATTTGTTGCAACATCCTTGTGGGAAAGGGAGATTGGAGAATCAGACTTTGGCTGGCAATAAGTGTACAGAATCTTCCTTCTGCCCTTAAACTGAGATGTGCAGATTGACCAGAGGGGACAGAGAGTTTAAGGTCCTTGTCTTGCATCCTGAGACTGTTGATGCTGCCTGGAAAAATGTAGTGGGGGGCAGAAGTGGAAGATAGTCCAAGGCACCCGAAAGCTGCTCCAGAGAACTGTTCCACATTGTGCTGGATCAGAGTTTTTCTAGGGAGTTCTACATTTCAGCCCCTGAGCCTGGACTTGCAGCCGTCCTGAGCGTGCAGAGCTGTGCTGTGCTCAAAGGAGCTGCAGCTTTAGTGCTGAGTAATGGATAACTGGGTGAAACGTTGGGGGATTGGGAACTGCAGAGTCAGTGCTGTGGGAATGGAGCAGTGAGACTGAGCCTGGCTCTGCTGGGGGTGGCCTCATTCCCCTGCTCTCTGCTCCTCCTGACCTGTCCTGGGTCACGGTGGTTGCTTGTGGCCACATCACTCTGTTCCTTATTTCTCCACATCCCTCTCCAATGCTGCAGGCCCAGACAAAGGAAAAGTTCCTCTTTGGGTGATTCTGTCCCTCCTTGCCACCCCTAGCTTTGGGGGTTCTTTGAGTTGGTTGAGGTTTTGGGTTGGGTTTTGTCACACTTTAGTATCTGTTGGGCAGCAGTTGTGATGTTTTCTGCACGCGCCAACACTCGAGAGCAGTTTGGGAACTGTAACGGAAGGACTAGACGAACAGGGAAGACAAATATTCTCGTTCCTGGTGGCTGTGGGTAGGAAGGATCTCTGGGCTCTGCTCCTTGTTGAGCTGCTGGAGCTGTGTGTGGTCCCTGAGCCTCGCTCTGCCCGCAGGGTGAAGCCTCATTTCCGCTCGTCCGGCAGCTCGGAGCAGCCCGCGGAGGG